TATTTTCACCATAAGAAATCTTTCAGTCAACGAAATAAAATCTATTTTATTCTTCGTAAAATGAAGTATAAAGAAACTCCAAATTTGCATAAAGATCCGCGGTGTGTTGATTAAGAGAAAAATATCAATGAAAAACATGATCGGATCTAGAGAGGGACAAATATTGCAATAAGCTAAATATTGTCTCAAGTTCGCTTGTTTAGCGTCTTCAAAGTCGCTTGTATTCTTTTGGTAAAACTGTGTTTCATGTCATGTCCTTCGCGCATTAGATGCTGGAACTGCGCGTGAACATGTGATGAGCTACTAATTTTGTTGTTCAAGGTCACGTTAAGGTCATGAGTTCTTGACCTTGACTGCTGCATAACAGTAATAAAAAATAAAACGCTTTCATTAAAGTAAAAAAAAAAAACATTGACGACCTTGATATCTCGAGTAACTTCGACCGTGCGAAAAATACATTTATTTATCATAGTATTTGCCTTTCTGGATCTAATCATGTTTTCCTCAAATATACTTCTCTCTTATCAGTGATTAGCCAGATATTTAAGGTACACAAGACTCGCGACCCATCCGCTACTATCCAGTTTGGCAAATAATGTGTAAGCGTATTTTGATGTACGTCTAAACAAATTTTATATCACAAACATGTCCTAACTACGATTAATTTTTTATCGATCAAGATATAGGTATCGTAATTAATAGTATAAATTAATTTAGGCGAATACTTATGTTCCTTATTTTCAAAACTTTCTAAAGTTGCTGCACAGAATTGTTCGGTGTTTCGTCTAAGAAAAGTCGTCGCATACTATGCAGAAAAAAAGGAATTGTTCTAACACACGTTTCTCCAAGAATCATGCAAAGTGAATCATCCTGTAATCAGGTATCGTCAAGTTGTAATTATCATGATTACATGATTCGTTGTATTGTCAAACCGTATGGTTGTATGTTTCACGTGGCAAATCGTTCGACTGCTTTCAATCTTCATCTCAAACACGAAAAATACAAGATATTATATATTATATTAAGATATTAGATATTATATATTATATATTATATTAAGATATTAGATATTATATATTATATTAAGATATTAGATATTATATATTATATTAAAATATTAGATATTATATATTATATTAAGATATTAGATATTAGATATTAGATATTAGATACTAAGATATTAGATATTATATTCTCATCAATAGATCGATCTATATTCATCAAGATTGAAAGTGACTTAAAAAATCGATCATGAAAGAGATGTTTCCCTCGAGCAAAATCGAAGTTTACAATATGCATAGCTGTGTTGTAGATGAATTAATTATTCCGTTCCCTACCTTACAGCCTAATATATAGTACAGTAAATTCTCCCCGATTATCCCTCAACTCAGTAAACAAAAGTGGACAATTTGGGGAGAGAGGAGATATGATTATTCGAGCGTCGCGGCTTATTTTTATAGTTAGTAATATTATATATTATATTTATTATATTTGTTATATTTATTTATATTAAATTTATATTTATATAGTTAGTAGTATAGTATTATAAAAACGAGGTGCAAGGCTGGAATAATCGTGTCTCTTCTTGCCAAATTGTCCAGTTTTGTTCGCAAGCTGAAGGAAAATTAGGGAGAATTCACTGTATCTTCTAATACCAATTAAATCATGCATTAAAGTCAACTAAAACCAACTTAACTCATTGAAATTCTCCAAATAATTTCAGATACATGAAATTTCACATAAATTTCTCATTAATATTATTAAACAATGCAGCAACCAGATTATTCGTACCGATAATTAGACCGCAGATTTTTACGCAAAATAGAAGTTTTCGGATTCAACTGCAAAAAAAACAGATGTCAGATAAAAATGTATATTCCTCCTGTTAATAATTTCAGTAAATTAAGGAGAATGTAGGAATGTTGTAATGTGTCTTCATTGTTTGATATGTCACATGGAGAATACATAGAATCCGCGGTCTAGCGATAACGTTATCGCAAGACGGATCTGTAAACATTGCAAAATGCGTTTCTAACAAAAACTGTGAAAACTTTAGAAAACTTCATGAATCTTGATACACTGCTTTCGACTTATGAAAATTATTAAAAGAAATATACTTTTTTTCTTTAATTTCTGTTTCTGACGATTAACTTAGATTTGTTTGTTGTTTTTTTTTTCATCAAAATCCACAGTCTACGAATCAGTTTTCGCAGAAAATCTGTTGAACGAAACAAGCTTTGCTTGCAGCGATGTTTCATGTAACAGCGTTCTCGCGCCAAATACTGAAACTATAGTCTTCCATTGCTCGACAAATCCAAATTGGACATAATGAACAATTTACAGCTGATGACCGTCGATACGTTAAATATAAACCAAGCTTATTTCTGCCATTATCATTTCCGAGAAAGCCGAACACTTTCAATTGCTTATCTCGAGCTCTTTGGATGACGCGAGCGTAGTCATTGACAGACGAACGTAATTGCAACAAGGTGGAGCATCTTTCATCATTCGCGCTCCTCGCGGGGACTAATAATAACATGTAAAAATAAAAATCATCAAAAATCGATGGATCCTATGTCATGTATCCGTTACATAACCAGCTATACTTAAACCCTACACGTTGGCAACGAAGCGCCCAGATGGTCATTTGCTATGATTCTTTTAACAGTTTTTATGCGCTGTTCTAAAAATATCATAAAGTCGCTGTGAATGTTCATCGTTTCGAAATTATTCGATGAATTTATACTTATAAATGTGAACTTTCAAAGTGAAAATTCACACGAAGAACCTTCGCTGCTACAGCCTTTACTCGCTTATTCGATTGCAAATATGATGATTGATGCAACTAATCCTATTTCACGCGTGTTACATTTATGTTATTAATAGAAATCATAAATAGAAATTGAGTCAGTGTTTTTCTAAGTGAAAATCGGCGTTGTATCTACAGACCGTGGCCTTCGTGGTATTATACATTTACACTTTTACATCACACTTTCACAATTTCACTTTCCTGAAATTCTGTACGTTTTACTAATCTTTGAACGACTAATTCGTCGGACAATGTTTCTGTTATTGCTGCTCGTATAGATTGGCAGAAGTTTATCATAAATGAAAAAATTGGGCTAAAAAAGAAGTACAGTGCGTTTTTCTGGAAAAAGACCTGAGATACGCTCTGCGACAAAATTACAAAACAAACGTTCCTTTGCTGTTGATATTTTGTACTTGGTAGGTTTCATTATTTTCTTTAATAATGGTGTATTATCTGACAATATTTAAATATTATTAAATTATTATTATTATATTATTATTATAAAATTATTATTTAATATTATTATAATATTATTATTTAATAATGGAAACCATAAGGTCTGCACGATTAATTAAACGTTCGATTTTTCTATTCTGTTCGCGTTCAAAGTGGTAGAAGTTTAGCGTAAATTAATTAATTACACCGATTAAATACACTCTGTGACAAAATTATAAGACCGACAATGTTTAACGCGAAACAAAAGTTGCGGCGAAAGCCACAAGCACCGTTTAAATTGAACAATTCTTCCAACGAAAGTGTTATATATTTTTCTATCTCGTTTTTCCATTGCATTATTTGTTCTTTTGAACGTTTAGTCAGTTTTATTCCCGTACAAACCTAACTTTTTGCACGATACGTTTTGTTATATATATTCCGTATCGAAAAGGATCATTTTCGCCGAACAAAAGAATAAATAACGTGAAACTACCTTTTGTAATCGAAATCACTGGAATTGTTTATTACCGCTTTCCGGTTTCTCCAGCTAAATGAAAACCATCTTAAAGCTTTATCACACTGCTGTTCACCGGGCATCTGCAATTCTAAGTAATTTTTTTCTTTACGTTAAGATACCGGGATACCGATTAAAAACAAAGTGCATGCGTCCCACTGAAGAACTTTAATTCCACTTAGATAATTCTACACGGTTATCTAACTTTGTTTCTGAACGAAAGAATTGTACAATATGTAAAAATGATATTATTAGCATAATATTATATTATAATATTATTATATTAGCATATATTTATTATTATATTAGCATATTATTATATCAATATTATAATATATTAGCATAATATTATTAGCATAGGAACTATTACAGTTCCAGAGCTTTGTATAATGGCATTCGCTAGAATTGTAGACGATTTATAATTTTATAGTAGAATGTATGTACCTCTCGACGGTCATAATAATTGTCCATCTCCCTCCTATTATCCGCATGCAATAAGACTGGAATTATTAGAGTGGGATATTATTGCCAGCCGTTATTATTGTTCGTGTATCACGGGGCCTTATTTTTAAAAGTAATTCGTAATCAATATACCGCGGATTTTATGCATTTATGGTAAAAATGAGTAGGTAAAAAAGGACGGTAGACAGATTAAGAGAATTGAAGAATATTTCGATATTATTTTGAACTTACTAAAATTGTTAAAAAAAAGAAGAAATTTCCACACTTGGTTATTGTTTATTGCAATTCACAAATAAAATTTGGATTTTGCATAAAAATCCGCAGTCCAAAAATTAGTGAAGAACGTGGATTATTTTTTGACGGGAATTACCAGTTCTAATGCGTACAGATCATTGAAAAATAAAGAATTAATAATCTTGGCACAACAACTTTGTTTCAGACGGCTGCTTTAATAACAATATTGCTTTCTAAATCGTGTAGCGAATTGTTTTTGGATCCATGTAATTTCAACATGAGTTTGATTGACATGATTTGGATGACATAATCGAAAGTCATATCGTTTCTGCAAAATTGTAATCTGCAATTACATTATTCTATATGAAAAAGAGTTATATAAAAATCCATTTCAAAACGTGAATTGCGAAATTAGCGAAAAGTTAAATATTTGTATCGGAAACAAATTTAATTTTAGGATGATATAAGCATTCAAATATTAAATGACCCTTGAGACTTTTTTTTGTATTTCTTTCACTTTTGGAGAAAGATTTTATTACACAAGAATCACCTAGTATATATGTATATTCCTGTTGATTAAAGATTTCCAAACATGTGTAAATGTACATGAAATTGTACAGACAAAAAAATGTTTTTATTCTTAGCATATGATTATTACACAGGGTGTTTATTTTATCTTGCACATTGAAATATCTTCGTTATTTTTCCTGATATAAAAAAATGTACGAGTACAACTACGTTTAGTTCGAAGCTAAGAATATTGTGATTCATGTTTCATTTTTCTCGAAGTTATTTTTTTTCAAATATTTAATAAATTTATTACTTATGAAAAACCAAAATTTCTGAATTTCTTGATTGTGTAATTTTCCATTCAAGGTCATTTAAAGGTCATAGCGTCAGATTTCGTTGAATTCGCCTTGATGTGCACCACGGTGCCGCGTCATAAAAAAATAGGGGTTAATGTGAAAACGATAGCAATAACCTACAATACACAACCCTGACACATATTTTTATATTAGCAAAAGTAAGGATGATATTTCGATGTGCGGGATAAAGTAAACACCCTATATATACAACCTTTATACTTCCGTATGCGCATTCAAAAAAATTACTGTATGTAATAAAAAGTGTAAACTAGTTCGGAGAAATTAAAAGAATTTTTAAGGATTAAGAAAATACTCTCCTAATAAAAAAAAGAATATAAATAACACGGAATTAGTTATGAGTGTATGCAGTTTTTAAATATTCACAAGTGGAGCAGTGGTTAATTTGGAGTATTAAAGTTGAATGATGTAGAATTGGTCACACGTACCTAAAACAGAAAAAAATCAGGTATTATAAATTATGAAAATCTGTCAATTTAGTATTACAATATATTTAAAGAATGTAGAATATACGAAGCAATATTCATCTCGATACTATTTTCTGTATAAGGATTCTAAGAGAAAAAAAAGTTCAATAAAATTGTATGTAATTTGATCTTGCTTTGGATTTTCTGACAATGAGGCGAATAGAGATGAAATTGTACTTTTCTTTTTATCCTCTATATTCTTCCACGTAAAAATGTAAAACCATATAAAATTTCATACTCTAATAAAAAAATTACTTATTACAGAAACAAAAGTTGAATCCAATTTTGTCACTGTGACAAAATGTCAACTATGTACACAGTGACTCTAAAAAGTATTCAAACACAGAATTTCCAATATTTAAACTGATATATTTCCATACAAGAGAATCGTACATTAATAAACCTGGACTCATTTTAAGGGCCCACACTTTCAGAATTCATCGTTCGTTTTTTTTCTAAGATATTTTAGTACAATACAATGAATAGGATATGAAAAAATGCTAGAAATCTCATCAACTCTAAAAACATTGCAACAATTGTCTCATCACTGAAACTGCCATAGAGTTTTAAATTGCATTTTTCCTTGAAAATTAAATTTCTGTACTGTTTCATACAATGAAAATGAGCGCTTATATTATTGTAAAATTAACACTGCACCTTCCGTTCAAATTTTGGCAAATCGAGTAGAAAAAAAATCGTATATCAAGTTTTAAGGGATCGTTTTAAAGGAGATACAACAAATTTTTAAATATACGACAGATTCACCCTGAAAAAGAATTGTCAAAAATCTCAATTTGTTTGTCACTTTCCACAAAAATCGCTAATGTCAACGGTAGAGGCTTCAAGCGTTCAAATAATATTACAACAGCTTAAACATCGACAATTCTTCGAAAACAAGAAATTCAATGTTCAATACTCAATGTTTCCAGTGTCAACAAAAAATAAGTACACATTCATAGCATCAATTGCTACACATAACACGCGACAAAATCAAATTGAAACTATAAAAATTGAAACCGGTTCCACAGAGAAGCTTCAATAATCTGTTACATTCAATAATACTTATACAATATCTCGTATATTTAATAATCCGTGCGTACAGTTTAGCATCAATTTTATTAACGTCAAAATAATCATGCACGTCAAGTCCATCTCGACGTGTGAATTCCAACGAAACGCGTGTGCGCACGCATTTAATGCGCTAACTTCTGACGCTTTTGTTTAAAAAAAAAAGAAAAAAAGACCGTGTACACGACACACTGTTTTATCTTTGACGGCACAGAGGAACGGTCTGAGCACACTTTTTCGCGGTGTCACCGATAGTATAGCGAACGAAAGCGAAGCGTAGAGACGTACGTCGTCCGGTACGAAAACGGCGATCATTCGGGGCTGCTTCCTCTTCTTTCGCGCCATCTTTGATTTCAGGTGACCGGAAGGCGACTCTAACTCTGGTAAAAATTACACGAGGAAAAAAATATCGCGAGCACGAACTAACCTAAATTCGTGGACAACGAGAGTGACGAGAGAAGACGCTAAACTGGGAATACGTCGCGTCGCGGCGAGCAGATACGAGAAAAGGTGTATGTGCCTTTGTTCCTCAAACCACGTTAGGTCGGCCGGGTTACCGTTTACATACATTAACCATGCTGATTTATGAAAATTTATGGATCACCATTTCCATGACGTGACCAAAGAAACATTACGTCCGATAAAGTATTTTTATGTTTTACCTTTATCGAAGGAAAATAAATGATCGGCTCGGGCTTGATCGACGCTGGCCGCGTCGCTGGCCATCGGGCAAGTACGTGCGACCGATTTTTATTAATTCCAATAATCGATGTATGTATATGACAGAGTTTCTGTAGAACACGCTGAACTTTCGTTCAATTCAGTTTCTTTGCAAAGTTTTTATTAATTTCAAACTTTTCTGCTGTAATCTCCATTTTGGAAAAGCGACTTGCTGAAAAGATATTGCACGAAAGATCTTGTTATAGTTTTTTCGTGGTTCTGTTTCACACTTTGTTTCACACTTTTATTCGTAATTTTATAGTTTAATGTTTATAATTAAAAATTTATAGTTTAAAGTTTATAGTATATAGTAAATATAGTATATATAGTAATAATAGTAATATAGTATAGTAGTATATAGTAGTAGTAGTATATACTATATACTACTATACTATATTATACTATAAATATCGTAATAATAGTAATATAGTATAGTAGTATATAGTATACTATATTACTATAGTATAGTATAGTATAGTAGTATATAGTATACTATATTACTATAGTATAGTATAGTATACTACTATACTATATTTATATTATTACTATATATACTATATTTACTATATATAATAAACTATATAGTTTATTATTTATAGTTTTTATAGTTTAATTTTTAATTTATAGTTTAAAGT